ACTTTAAATTTCTAATTACTCTATACTTATATATCTGATTTTATGTTTAAACAATTGATATTAGCTTGATGTATACACAGCATTATGTGACACTTTTCATACAAAATCCCTATAAAAATTAGTTAAAAGGGTTCGATATATGTAAGTGTAAATATACTATAACAACTGAAAATTGAATTCCTTATTGCCATTTAAAAATTAATATTAATATTAAATTCTATTTTATATATAATGCATAAAATGTTTTTTTTTAACTACGTATATATATATATTAAAACAGTATGTCTTTTAATTGTCATTTGAAGTTTACTGTTATTCAAATACATCAAAAATTTGTAAGTTGACTTGACTGAACGTACTCTATTGCATTTTAAAAAGCGGGATTGTGAGTTAGTGATTGTCGATTTGTTTCTAACATTGTTTGGCGTCTTCTGTTACAGTTTTTCTTCCAGTTTTTTCATATATTTATTATTTTAATTAAAATTAATTAAAATCTGTTTTCGATACATATTTTTGTTCAACTCTTTTATGCAATTTATAAACTGCAAGCACAACAACAAATAATGGATTTCACTGAAAAAGAAGATTCTAATATGTATATGTAAGTTTTTATATACTTAAGTAACCCTACATTATATTTATAAAATTTTATTATAAATATACAACGGTATCACTCCTAGTTTGATTGAAATGTGTGCAGAAACATTTTTGGTTTTTAATTTTGTATATGGTAGACCAACTTATTTCGTGGGACTTCTAGAGATATATTGGGGAAAAAGCCGCTCACAGTTGGCATAACAGCTTTGTTAGTTTTTTTGTTGGTAAGTGCAATCGATTTAAATGCAATCGATCTTCAAAATCATTGGCTTACTTAAATTTTGTAATACTATATATAAATATATATAAATAATATAAAATTGCAATTTTTTGAGGTTAAGGTTGAACTCATTTTTAACGACGAACTCATTAAAACCTAGTTGTTAGGGCTTAACTCATTTTTAATGCTAAAAGTAATATGAATATTCGGAATTGACTCGATATTCAGCAAACTTTTACATTTAATTTGTTTTTTAGAAATTTTTCAGAAAGAACTATTTAAACCTAATGTGGTCCAAATATCCGTAATTTATTCTCATTAGTCATGTATAAGAAATTTATATTCCAATTGAAATTTTTAATATATATGTATGTATATGTGTACACATATATATTTATATATATATGTATATAATTTCCTATATACATGTAGAAAATTTTATGTTTTCGTGTTATTTAATATAAATAAAATACAATCTCTTTACCAAGCTTAACTAAAAGTTATATCACAAAAATAAATACTTATAAATAAGTATACAAAAATATATATATGAAATATATACAAAAAATATATACACAAATAAATATATTTATACTAAAAATAAACATATATGTACTTTAGTATTTGCATATTAAATATTAAATATCTGTTAACGCATAAACAATGCATGCATGTGTGACTCTATATCCGTAAATAAATGGTTACTTATTAAATAATTATAATTAAATGAAAATTAATGTTTAATATTAAAACTAAAATAATAAATTAGTTTATTTATATGTTATAAATGTATGCAAAATTATTTTATGTCTGTTTGTTAAAAAAGTAGCATAATTGTTTAATTCTCTATATGTATATATGTCGATAGCACAAAAATATAATTGGCTTTATAGTAATTTAAGTTGATTGCACGCAATTGTGATAATATTTAAAAATTATTTTTATTAATAATTAAAATAATACTTTTTAATATGTAAATAATAAACACTTTTACGACATATATTGAAATAAAAAGCGCTTTACAAAATACAAAATGAATACAAAAATATATATCTAAAAGAATAATACAATATATATGGTATATATATAACCAAATAAATACTCTGAACAATATTGCACTGAGCCAGTTGGGAAATAATGTGTTTTGACTGAAAATATTTTCTTTTAAAGTACAGTTAAAAATATAAATATAATATAAAAAAATTTAGAAATTTAATTAATATAGAGTATAATAATTTTATTGTTAAAAACATGTTGTTGTTATAGTCTGCATCGTATTAATATATATGATTCAGTAGCTTTAAGAACTATAATACTCCAATGGGAGTGTTGAGTGGTACTTGTTCGTCCGAAAAAAGGACTAGGTAGTAGTTTTACTTCGGTAATTTAATAATTACTCTTGCTTAAAACTGTTGATTATATACAAAATATTACCATTACCTTCGTTAACATTTGACTTTATAATATGTCTATAAATCCGATTGAACTTTGCTTGCATGCCAAGTATTAAAACTTCTCTAACTATAAATGTACAAATTATTCATGTATATATTATTATTTAAGAATAGTTAAAATGAAAGCAACTAAAATATTAATAGTAAATTCAGCATTTACATGCTCTTATTCACTGTCTTAATATTAAAACATATTAATATTAATAGTTAATTCAGCACTTACATGCTCTTATTCACTGTCTTAATATTTAAACATAATAAAATCATTTAGAAATAAGCTCTGAAATTCAAGCTTATGAAAAATGCACTTCTTATGTTTTTACCAAATTTAGGCATTCCCCTATTTACATTTAAATAAAAATAATATGAAAATAAATAATTCTGAACAAATATTGTTTTAAATAAATTTCTATAATAAAAAAAAATAACCAATTAAATAAAAAATTATTATAATTATAATTTAATATAAAAATAATTATAATAATATAATTTAATAACAATTATAATTATAATTATATATTTTAATATAATTATAATATAACTTTTATAGAATATAATATAAAAGTAATTACAATTATAATTAAAATTATTATTAAAATTATTATTAAATTGTTATATTTATAACTCTTATATATAAATATAATTATAATACAATATAATTATAATATTATTATAATTTTTACAGAATATAATGAAAAATTATAATAATAGAATAATAATAACAATTATATTTACATATATAATTACAAGTAAATTGTTATTTATATAACTTTTATATATTATTATAATTATATTTAAATATAATTATAATATTATTATAACTTTTATAGAATATAATATAAAAATAATTATAATTATAATTAAATTGTTGTATTTATAACTGTTATATATAATTATAATTATAATACAATATAATTATAATATTATAACTTTTATAGAATATAATAAAAAATAATTATAATGATAATTATATTTATATATATAATTAAAATTGAATTGTTATATATATAACTTGTATATATTATTATAATTATATTTAAATATAATTATAATATTATTATAACTTTTATAGAATATAATATAAAAATAATTATAATTATAATTAAATTGTTGTATTTATAACTGTTATATATAATTATAATTATAATACAATATAATTATAATATTATAACTTTTATAGAATATAATAAAAAATAATTATAATGATAATTATATTTATATATATATATAATTAAAATTGAATTGTTATATATATAACTTTTATATATTATTATAATTATATATTAATATAATTATAATATTATAACTTTTATAGAATATAATACATAATATAATTATAATTATAATTAAATTGTTATATTTATAAGTCTTGTATATAATTATATTACGATATAATTAAAATATAATTATATTTAAATATAATTATAGTATTATTATAACTTTTATAGAATATAATATATAATATAATTATAATTATAATTATAATTAAATTGTTATATTTATAACTCTTGTATATAATTATAATACGATATAATTAAATTATAATTATATTTAAATATAGTTATAGTATTATTATGACTTTTATGGAACTTTGTTATTGAAGCGTTAAAACTACTAAATATGCATTAAAGTTTGTATTGAAGTTAACATAAAAAATTTCCCTACTGGCAATACACAGCTAATTACATAGAAATTGTTAACATGAATATTAATTACGAGATGCACATTAAAAGCACACACATCACAGCACATTTTCCTGCAGATATCAACACTTGCACCAGCCAACAAGCGCACATACACGCACACACACACTCGCAAATAAAATGCATTATTTTTCCGTAGCTATTTTGCTCCTCTAGCTACTGCTCCCTCTCTCTTGTACTTCTTCTGCCCTTTAATTAATACTTCTACAACAGCATCAAAAATGATTTTTTATTTACTTTCTACTACTTTTTACTACTTTCTACTACTTTATTTCCAAACACTCTTACACTCTACTTTATACACTTAAACAAAACACTTCATGTAACTTCTTGAGTTTTTTTTATAAATATTTAATATTTTTTTAAACTCTTAATTTTAAAGTTTTTATGTATTTTTTTTATTAAAGTAATTGTTTTTTTTTTTTTGTACATTTTATTTTACTAAAATAAAAAGTTGTAATAAAAATGTTTTTTTTATGTCAAGCATATTTTTTTTGCACCATAACCGCAAAACTCTTTGTTTCTTGCGCTATTTGAAATTATATTCAAAAAAAAAATGGCTAATAAAACGATAAAACAACTTCCTTTTCCGTTTGAATTTTTTTTCGTTTTTCTTTTTTTTCTCTTTGCACTCTTTGCACTCTTTGCAAATGAGCAAAAAGCAAATAAGATTATTTATATAGTTTTTTGTGTTATGGTGCAAAATGCAACATTATTTTTACCTTCGTATTCTTCTTTCTTCTTATAACGTATTTTTTAAGTTTCTTTTTGATTACAATTTTGCCAACTTGTTTTTAAAACTATTTTTGTTGTTTTCAATTTTGAAATAATTTATACTTTTGATTTCCTTAAAAATTTATTTCTTATTATATTTACTTAATGCTAACAAATACTAATAAAATATTTTTATCTCTTTCTCTCCCCTTTGCCCTAAAATCAATATTATCCCATATGAAATCCTGCTACTCCAAAAAAAAAACTCATCATTCCTAACGAAAAAAAAACCACAACAACTACCATATGCAGACGTCTTGCTGATGAAGATGATGAACTTTCTGAAGTTCAACCGGATGCTGTACCGCCAGAAGTGCGAGAGTGGCTGGCTTCCACTTTCACTCGGCAATTGGCTACAACTCGCAGGAAGACCGACGAGAAACCGAAATTCCGTTCTGTGGCACATGCTATTCGTGCTGGTATATTTGTGGACCGCATCTACCGTCGTGTCTCCAGTACTGCTCTAATGCAATTTCCACCTGATGTCGTTCGGTGCTTGAGGGTAAGTTTTTTCTAATTATTATTATTTTTATATATAAAATAAGAATAGGAAAGAATACTGCAACAAAAAGAAAATATTTTTAGTACCAGAGTCTTATATAAGTCTTATATGCACTAGTGGCTATGATAACTAATAGTCTATACTTATCGCATCAGTATCATTGTCATTGTCCAAAGTAATGTTTATAAATATAAGTATTGACCATTGTCTAGAGCAATATTTATAAATATAAATATTGTTTATGATCTAGAGCTATGTTTATAAATATAGTTTATAAATATAGTTCTTTTGAACCTAATGAAATAAGTATTAGAAGTAATTTAATGGTCTAAGCAACGAAAAAAGAATTTACAAACGGGAAATCCATTTTCCATATTAATGAAGTTACATAGCGTCAAACAAGAATGCAGTCTAAGATAGACGGGTAGAAGATAGACAAATGCATTGAAGTCAGAGTCTTTTCCAATGACCTAAGCTTCTTTAAATCCTACCATCACTCCGATTCCACCTCAGTATTTCAGGCAGAAATTTTCGCCATTCTTAGAGCAATTTAAATATAGACTTTCACATAAAAAATATGTGTATTCTTACTGACAGTCAGGCAGATATTAAAGCTTTATCAACGGTCTGTATTACATTAAGATTAGTACAAGAATGTACAGAATTTATCAATGCATAAAGTGAGAGGTCCAAGGTAACTCTAGTTTGAGTTCCCGGGCGTTCTAATGTAGTAGAAAACGAGCGCGCAGATATACTTGCCATTCTGGGCGCAACTTCTATGAATACCCCCATTTCAATTTTTGAGACAGGCTAATAATGAGTGGGCCCATACTAGCTCAGCAGTCAATTTCAAGGGTATATGGCGAATTTATTTCAAATACAGAACCTCTGACTTGATATACAGAAGGAAATCAAAGGTATCTAGGTTAATTTCTGTCTTTACAGGGCACTGGACTATAGGACGGCATGAAGCTAGAACACTTGTTGTGTCTATGTCCAGGCTTTGTCAGAACTAGGCTTCGGCTTTTGGGGGAGCCCCCTTTTTTAATACACTCAGCAATATCACCAGTATTAGTATTATAAATTTTCTCACTGGTTCTAGTTCGACCTTCTTCTATCCATTATTACGAGAAATCGTAGAATTGAAGAGGATTCGTTCCTCCTTCTACTTCAACTAACTAACTAACTATGTACCTAAGAAAACTTTATCCACAAAAAATCTTTAATCATAAAAATATTAGAAAATTTTAAAAATGAGTTATTCGAAATGATTAACTGTGGTCAGTTTTAAGTTGTAAAATATCTCTTTATTTAGTACCTAGTTTTTATATCAGTTAAACAATTTATTCACTCATATTTTTAACAAGTTTTATATATCTAAAATAATTTTTTTTTGTCTTACTGAACCTAAATTCTGCTATTATTTCAAAACGATTGAAACACAAAATTAGGTAGACAATCTTTTTGATCTGTATTTACAGAATTCTAATGCCGAAACTTCTTCTTCACATAATTTTTGAGAGGCACTATTTTTTTTTCGGCCATACTAAGTTATGATCTAAAACTCTATAATGAAGTATTATGTAAAACACAAAATTATCCATCACATATTGCAAGCTCTCTGTATTAAGATGTGTATTGAAAATAGAGCCCATTTGCCATACGAATTTATTCTTTTAATTCCTAATGTGTGCATAAATTGTAGCTTTACCTTACCCTTCATTAGACCCATACTATAGAAGTGACTATGTTTCTTCGTCTTGATCCTGGTTGAGTTCAATTTATATCCCACCCATACATAATCCATTTCCACTCCATAATAATTCCTTCTTTCACAAAACGATTACCTATCCATATGCTAACACATGAATCCTAATAATCCTATAGCTAATATAACATAAATTATTCCTAAAGATCTAAAAGTTTCCTTTTGCCCTGATTCTTTTATAATAATATGAGAAATTATTCGAAATCCCGAAAGAATTATAATATAAACAAAACCCCGCTGACTACAACAACAACAACAGCTAGTTATCATCTTAAATTAATAGCTCGTATACTCTTTATGTTATAAGGGATTAATAATTTTAAGATTTGTAAAATTTGGAAATAATATACTATATAAATTTAAGCCACTTGAATATATAATAAAACGTGACTCAAATTTGTTATTTCCGATATTTATATGTAATTAACAATAATTTTATATATAACTTATATATTTAATAAAATACTAATATATAATTAATTATAATGCAGTTTATTACTTAATGTAATATAATTAAAGACTTAATATAATATAATTAAATATTTAATGTGATTTTATTTAATATTTAAAATAACATAATTAAATACTTATAATATAATTTTATATTTTATATGATTTTATTTAATATAACTTTATCTAATATTATTTAATACTTATATATAATACAACTAAATACTTAACTGAATATTTAATATAATATAATTTAATATTTAATATAGTATACCTCATATTATATATATATATATATTTATATATATATATAATATAATTTAAAATTTTATATTATATTGTTAAAAATTTTATATTTTATAATAAGAAACTATAGTTTAAGTATAAAATAATTTTTTCGTTAATAAATTATTTATATTTAATGCAATTAATTAACTTAAGTTTCTTTTCCTTCCTTGTTAGAACCTTGACGATTGGTCTTTCGACGTTTTTTCTCTCGCCGAAGCAGCTAATGGACAGCCAGTGAAATTTATTGGTTATGATTTACTTAACCGTTATGGTATCATACATAAATTCAAGATAGCTCCAAACACTTTGGAAACTTTCTTAAACCGTATTGAAGAAGGTTATTGTCGTTACCGTAACCCATATCACAACAACTTACACGCAGCAGACGTTACTCAAACTGTTCATCATATGCTCTGTCAGACTGGCCTAATGAATTGGCTCACGGATTTAGAAATATTTGCCACATTATTGGCAGCACTAATTCATGACTATGAGCATACTGGCACTACAAATAATTTCCATGTTATGTCTGGCTCTGAGACGGCATTGCTCTATAATGATCGTGCAGTTTTAGAAAATCATCATATTAGTGCTGCGTTTCGCGTACTGCGTGATGATGAATGCAATATCTTGTCAAATTTATCACGAGAAGAATATCGTGAATTGCGCACACTTATAATAGATATGGTTCTGTCAACTGACATGTCCTTCCATTTCCAACAGTTAAAGAATATGCGCAATCTACTTACTCTCAACGAAGCCACAGTTGACAAGTCGAAGGCTTTGTCCCTTGTTCTGCATTGTTGTGACATATCACATCCAGCAAAGCGTTGGAACTTGCACCATAGATGGACCATGCTTTTGCTGGAGGAATTCTTTCGGCAAGGTGATCTTGAAAGGGAGCTGGGACTTCCATTTAGTCCACTTTGTGATCGTAATAATACACTAGTTGCTGAGTCACAAATTGGTTTTATTGATTTTATTGTGGATCCTAGTATGTCAGTTATGGCGGATATGCTAGAATATGTACTTACACCTATAGCACCAATGTGTAAAAATGTGAATGCCAGTATCGATGCTGGCGATGTACCAGTCGATGAACCGAAACCAATCAGAAGCGGATCGAATTGTAATGCCATTTTAGAAGGCGTAGAAAGCAAGAATGAAGAAAACGGTTCATCTGCGTCTAACACTTCAAGTTCTTCGGCAGCTGTAGCTTCCACATCCAACGCTTCAGCAAAGCTTAAATTTAGTATACACAAACCATGGTTAAGTTGCCTCTCCGAAAACAAGGCCATCTGGAAGGAGCAAGCCTTAAAAGGTGAGTTCTCTTTGCATTTACAAATTATGTTTACTTAGTTTATATAGTATCTATTGGCACATAATAATATGACAGATCTTACTGTAGGTGTATATAGTAATAGGGGGATAATTTTTTGACAGATAGCTAGGAAGTCGAATTAGATTAAAAGATTGTGCTAAAAATTTATACGACTATATTATGAATTTTTATATTATATTTTTTATTTTAATTATTTATTTTTATCTATAAAATAAGATTTAATTATTTTGATTTTATTGAAATACCCTGCGGTCTGTTAAATTTTTAGTTGAATTATTTTTCTTAATATTTTTTTTTTGTTCTTGGGTGTTTTAAAAGTACTCATTTTGGTTCGTTCGGTCGCAATTTTAACATATCTGGAATAAAAAACAATATTTCTTTATTTATTTATTTATTTGTTAAATTATAAAACTGATATCGGTACAGTTAGAACATATAAAGTTAATTAATTTCCTGGAATGGAAATGTATATACTACATAAAATTATTTGAGTACGTCCGTTATAACAAATACAATTGCATAAATATCAACAACACAATATGTTAAAAAAAAGAATTGAAAATCGGTACTGGTATATGGATTGTCATGTAAACCGATTTTATATATCTGTAGCATCCCATTGAATAATGTGAGAAAACAGTCAATGGAATATAAGTATTAAGCTGTACATACTTAATATCGTGAAAAGCATGGCATTTGCCATGCGTATGGACTCAGACAAGTTACAAAATACTTCTTTCAGACAGATCTACAAAAACGCCAAAACTTGCCAAACTAACAACTGAAGAAAAAAGCAAACTAAAGCAAAGGATGTTGAAATTTTTAAACAACCGTAAGGATCATGCACTGCTATATCTAATTATGTGACCATTTTTGCCCGGAGAAAGCAGAGGAAGTTCTAGAATAAAGAGGAAATATATAATTACTGAATTGAAATTAATTATTTTCAATAACAAAAGCGGATTCCTATATGTTAACCAAATTATATCTATACAGGATATACTATAGTTTTAACGATATTAAATGATTACATGCTGTACATATGACATTATGATATTACGTGCATGATGATCTGGTCACCGTAGAAGACAATAATTTACCCAATAGAAGAAATATCAGCATATATATACTACTGGTACTGGATTTTTGATAAGGCGGAAATTAAATTAAAAATCTGCAGATATAGAAATCACGATAAAACGTTGGAAATATATAAAATATATAAATATGAGATGCTTATATACTTCTTGATATACGCACGTTTATAATATATATTACAAAATTTCTGTGATGCATATAATACATCCGCAGGTTTAAGTAAATATAAGAATTGGATTTCGACTATAACTCAGACATATAAAGAGCAGCATCATGTCAAAATTCTACAGCATAGATTTTTCAGTGGGTATGTGAGACCGTACCGGTGCTTAAAACCGGGCCTCAGGATATTTCAAAATTTTTTCATTTATTCATTTTATTATTTTTTTTTAATTTAACCTATTTTTGAAATACCCTGTGGTGTTTTTATTTTTTAGTATATATTTATTTTTATATTTTACTATTACTTTATTATTTTTTTTTTTTTATTCAAGTACAACAACTAAACATTTTTTATAATCAATGTATGTAGACAATTTTGTATACTTTATATATATAATAGAAAAGTTTAATTTAACTTATATTAAAATCTAATATCATTTTGAACATATTCTTTAATTTTTCGCTTAAAAATAAAAATATAATAACACTTAAATTGAAATTTAAAAATAAAATGTAAGCTCTAATGAATTAAGCCCCGCAGTGAAAAATTAAATTAGATCAGATTTGTGATACTGGATTGACTATTTGAATATATTTTTAATATATATAAATAATCGATTAAATTAATGTTTCATAAAAGTTTGTGAACACATAGAGAATATATTAGATATGTTTCAATAAATTCTTTCTTGATCGGTTAAACTAATGTAATTGCTTTGACAATAACTTTTTGTAGAAAAAGATATCTCCAAGATCTATAAATTTCACTTAATCTAGCATATAAAAAAAACATAACTTTGTTATTTATATATTAAATTATTTATATAAATTTTTTATATTAATTACATATTCAATTAATGAAAACAAAGATTTTATTAATTACTTACTTCCTCAGTACGATTATTCACAGCTCAGCTGTTATTTTTTTAAATTTTACATATAAAACATATGACATATACTTTAAATTTAGGTAATTTCCCTCGTGGGAAATTTTAAGGTTTGCATTCTATATTTTTCACCTTAAATGAGCTGATTTACTGATAATTAGTAAATCATCCTCATTAGTGACTATAAAGAGTAAAAAAACCTACATGAGACTGATTAATTACTGAAAAAACTAAATGGCAGAAAGCTAAAAATATTATTAATTCTGATAGAGTTCACACAAAGCAAAATAGCATAAAAACACAAACAACACAAGTGCAAATCGATCACTAAATAATTTCTAAACCAAAAAAAGCAATGCAATTGTTTTATTTATTTCAGCAGATATAAGATTTCTGTCGCAAGCAATAAGTTAACCCATTTTCACTTATAGTAAACAATACATTCAATTAGTGCTGAATTAGTTCTGCTACACGGAATCAGCTGACCCTTCCTAAGTAATGGAAAACATTGCACTCTATTATTTGTGTCTAAGTAAAAATTGGAATAAACCGTTAAAAATGAGTTGAATTTTTGTTTTTGGTATTAACCTAGATTAAATTTTATAACACCTAGTACAAATATTAAGCATTTCCTTGTAGCTAATATATATATATATATATATATATAATAAATATTTATTATATTAACCAGAAATCATAAATTGGTCACTATAGTTCTGTAGCTCACATTGTAATAATATAATAACTACTTACAATATGATCTTACTCAATTGTTTATGATGTCACCTTTAAGGTGACGGGCCTCTTGCAGTCTATATTGATTGTATTAATTCAAGCCCGCAAAAATAATAAACCTCACACAGTTCATTACGGATTGTGATAATCCTAAAACCTCTGAGGTTAACAGCATTGGACTAAACACACTAAATGTGATGATTTAGAAGCATCTAGGATTAAAAATAATATTATAATAGATATAATTTTAATAATAATAATAATAATACATAATAGTATTCTATAATAATATATATGTGCTCTAATATAATATAGCTTACAATTTAATTATAAAAATAATAAAAACAACTCTTTAATTATACTAATAATTAATTAATTAAATAATAATTAAGTATATTAAGGCATGAATTTATAGTCGTAATTCAAGTTTTTATACTAAATTAAGTATTGCTTGTCTTCAACTTTGTAGACTTAATTCATACTTAAGCCAGTTCTGAGACTGTAGTTATCACTGTAGTTGTGACTGTAGTTATGATTGTAGTCATAACTGTAGTTGTGACTGTAGTTATGACTGTAGTCATAACTGTAGTTGTGACTGTAGGTATGAGTGTAATTGTGACTGTCAAATCGGCCCTAAATATAAATTTATGTTTTTTATAAGATGAAAAAAAACCCAAAAAAAACTTAGCATTAAAATTTATTTATTTAACGCTAGGGTAAGCTTTATTTAAATAATATCCTTTTTAAACATAATTAAGCTTCATCTAGTAATTATCTACTGTTATTTAAGATAAAAAAAAAGTTCAAACAAATTAAAAAGAGGACTAATTAAATTGCAAGGTAGCTAATTTGTTCAATATGCTACACTGGCTTAAATATTTTTTAATACATTTTCTTATGTAAATTAATAATTGATTTATGCTTAGAACATGGCGCGGTATCTGAAATCTGTTTACCTTAATTCACAAAAAAATATCAAAAGGTAGCAGTTACGCCATCCCCCCTCGCCCCAACATGAAAAACGGTAGTAATTTTGTTTTAGTCTCTGTACTATATTGTAATATAGTATCTAATATCAGCCGAAAGGATGTGTAACATTTAATGAGCTTTCTTTTTTTCTGGTATTTTTATGTTTTTGCCAAAATTCGTTTGAAGTGTAATAGCCTATTTCCCTAACGTTGGGAATGCACCGGAAAGCTGGCAATACACTCCTGCGCCTAAATCAACATGAAATCCTTGTAAAGGAATTCGCCAAATATTAACTAGTACAGCTTTAATGTTGTTAGAAGGTACAAAAAACAAAAAAAATTAATATGTAAAAGAATCTTTGATATACGAAACATTGTGTGTACAAACTAATTGAAATTTTGTCAGTCTTTGATCTCATTTCAATATTTAGGTAATACCTAGCAGTTGCCAGTTACCAGTTGCCAGTTGCCAATTACCTACAGAGCTTGTTGTTTCTAGGCTGTATATAATTTGAAATTAATAAATATATTTGGAATATACATTTTTTTTTTGTTTTTTGAAATCGATTGAATTACGTCAATCGTTATTATAAAACTCACGCACAATATTTAATATGAATTTGTAATCGAAGTCAAACAATTGACCCCAATTTGTAGTTCAATTTCTGCAAGATATGACATTTGTATAAATATTTTTATTAAGAAATTTTAACAAAATTAAAAAAAAATTAAATTTTACTTTTAAATTAAAAAGAGGGGAATTTTTCAAAAATAGGTTAATACGTTTTGGATACTACTTGAAAACAATTTTACGAAATAACGAAACAATCACTGATTAAGCCAATCAACCACAAAATTTCTTGACCCATAGAGGACCCATAGTATAACAAATAAAAATAAAATAATTTTTTTATAAATTTTATAAAATAAAAATGACCAATTTCAAGAATTTGCATAACAATTCGAAATAAATTTCACTTTAGTGCCCACTTAGTTTGTGCCAAACAAAAAGTTTTGTGACAATGCCCGGTAAAATCAATTGGGACACCGAGTTTATTGTTTATTTTATTTTGACAGCAAGGATTTTATATTGACAGTTTTTGTATATATACTTTTTATTTGCTTTATT